AATAATATATTACGCAAGCTTAACGGGAATGAACTGGTTACAATACAACCTACCCGGGATTGATATGTCAATGTTGGCAACAAAAACAAAAAAAATGCACATTTTGTTCTTAGTAAAGCGCGCACTCTGCTTTCTTTCTTTTCGCTTTTGTGTTTTTCTCTTGTCATTTGCTCAAGTATCTCTCGATACCGTTCGCAACATTGGTTGCTTTTTATGTCTCTTTATTATCCTTTTTTAGTAAGTTTTTGCTTCTCATTGGGATATACGCAATCTCAAAGATACATTGTCCCTTTAGGATCGCAATGGTTGCAGGGAGTGTTGTTTGCTAATAAAAACAAATAGACATTTGTGAACGATTTGATGGAGGCTAAATTGATATTTCTCGACGTTAAAATGTTAGGAATGGTAATATATAGATTGGTTACACAGTACTTTTTGCAGGGATAGCATTTCATGCACCGAATAGATAAACTATTTTCTTGTTGTCATTTACATAGACGAGTGAATATGACGATGGTCATTTGTTGAGGAGCACTAAAAAAGTATGTCAGAAAAATTAACTTTAATTTTTTCTTTATTTTATGTCTACAAATTTTGCCTGAAAATATTGCTTTTGCAAGTGTAAAGTTATCAAAGCATGATTCATTCTTTAGCTGTCTTAGTCTAATGAGGGTGATTCTGATTATAATCAAAGGAAATCCCTTTAGGTCTTTATATATTGGTTTTCTAGACTAACGAGTTTTTTGCCGAAAAGACGTTTTTGATTAGTTCAGATGATAGAACAGATTGAATTGTCTAGAAGACAGTAAATTTTTCTGTTTCAAACCCTTTTTTTTTGCAAGAACAACAACCAGCTTAATTCACACAACGGACAAATGTCAATGTTTTACTGTGAAGATCTTTAAGATGATATTATTTTACTTGCAACTCAGATTTGAAAAACAGGAAAATTAATTGTACTCTAGACAATTCAATATGCTCTGTCTTCTGAATAGATCTGACTTGTTTGGTAAAAATTTTGTGAATCTGGGTAGAATATAAAGAGTTAAGAGGGTTTTGATAACAACACGTTGTCACTTTTCAATGTAAAAGTAACGACCATGTTTCTCTCTAGTTTTCTGAAAGCAAAGAGTACCATTCACTGAGTATACACAAAGAGATTTCTTTGTACTGCTACTAATTAGATGTGAAGAGAGCTCTTTTTATTGGTAAAATGAAACAACTTTTTTTCACAAAGAACAGAATGATATAGCAAGTAGAAGACAGGAAAAAGAAGCAAATTGACACCTATCGTTGCAAAAGAAGACCAAAAATTGACTTTTCAAGCTCAAAAGAAGAAATGTAGCTTAATTAATATATACCAGGATTTGTTCAACGAGAGCGAAGGACATCATATGTAGTGAATGATTCTTTTTGTTCTCTATCAATCTCTTCTCAACTCTTTTCATCATTTTCAAAATTGATCGGCAAGAAATACTAACTCAATCCTAACAAATTTAGAAGTTACACTTCAATGAACTATTTAATGAGCACAAACAACTTCATACTATTTATTCCTACCTGAACTCAGTTAAAGAATCATAACATATGTTGCAACAATAACCACTAGTTTCTCATTATTCCTTATAGATACAAAAGAAAAATGATTATCAGTGGTACTTTAAAATAACATGAACATATACTAGTTTGACTGCAAACATATCCTCATTATTGATGAAAATACCAGCAGTCTTCTGTTCAAATCGATCATATCGATTGATTTTGGCTAAAAACTTCCTTGATTGTGTGTATATGCAAGTAATATGCTTGTTCATATTCATATACATGAGTACATAATCGTTGATTTCTTTAAGCATATTAGTTCAATTTCAATTCGAAATAAATTATGGTTATATTTTCTTTGTTTTCCTTGAGTACTTTATTTATTAGGAAGCTTTTGTTTTCATTGGAGTTCTTGTGTGAACAAGAATTGCCTGTTTTTTTCTTTGTCAAATCCATGTGCCACAAACTCGATGATAAGTTTCTATTTCATCTAGATCGTACCGATTAAGTCTTAAAATCATGAAGAAAAACAATAATAATAATAAATAAAAGAGTTTTCAGTGCAATCCATACGGTATTAAGATGTGAAACACGACGAAACCACTTTAATCATTGATGGAGAAATCTCGTCATGTCTATCACAATCCGTGACGAGACCGAGAAATAACATGTTATAGCGGTTGTGTATGGTATAGATGTTTTCTTTCTCTATAAATGAGAAGAATATGTCACGCATCAAAACTTATTTGTAAGCGAGAAAAGGTTGATGTAAGAAATTGTTCGATTAGATTTCTAAATTTTCACGTTGTTGTTCACGTAACAGCATAAAACCGCATGTAACAAGAATAAATACACTTTTCAGCTATAATTATTTTTTTTAAATACTTCTCACTTCTATTTCTATTGTGCTTGTTTAGTATTCCATGAATGTCAAGAATCTCGTTGAAAACCACCAAGAGAATCATATTTCGTTCGTATTCTTCTCGTTTGTATATTTATTAAGTTTTTTCAATTTGAGTGTGGGTGTGTGAGTGTGGGGGTACACATTCAATGGCGTTTTCTCAGTATTTATATATATTCCTTTCAGTTTTCATTTAGTCTACGTATGATTTTCTACTTTGTTTGTAATCATCCTTCTGAACCCATAGAATTCGATAGGATATTTTTATAATTACTATACATTTACTGTCATCCATGACATAGCACAGTAATTCATGTAATCTCATTCATATTTCATCTTTGTTTGCTTCATTCGAGATATTCCCTAATGTTAATCTATGTAAATTTTTTCTTCTCAATATATTCTTGCCAAAAGTATTAATCTTCGAAAATAAATATTTTTCATTCTGTTCTTATATTTTCTTACTCAGATCAGATTTAAAAAGACTTGTTATCATTCTACTCTCATCCAAATGGATACTCATAGGCTAATACACTAAAAAGTTGTAGAATCAATTATTTTTCATTGACTTTAATTATATACATTTGCTAGTATGTTCTTCACTTGTTCAGTAAAATCAATCAAACATGACTTTCATTATGTTTATATCAATCTATATAAAACAATTCTTTTTTGTTTAAGTTTTTAAAAATTCTTCAGATAAATTCTCTATGTAAAGTGTATACTGCAAACGTATTTGTTTAATTAAAGAAGCAGAAGTAGGTAAGCTTTTTCGACATATTCATTAACTATACACTTCGTTTTGTTTATAAGATTTTCGAAATGATGAGAGTCAATTGATAATAATTACAATGAATTTATATATCTAAAAATATGCGTAATAATCTCAGAGAGATTACGTTGAAAGCTTTTTATAATGAGTCAGTATTTTGAATCATCGATGTATTTCTCCTTTCTTCTAAGTTGGGAGAGCAAGCTGACGTGAACTGAATGATTATGTCATTGGTATGATATTATGCAAACTAGCGATATTCACCAAACTAAAAGTGACTTTGATACAAGTTGATCAGTTGATTGACTTCTAATTTTTTGTTGCTGTCGTCTTCATTTGAAAATTTCATTCGAAATTGAAGCACGTTGAGCTTTGATAAATTATTGACAATAATCTCTTGTCATCATTTTATATTGATTCACGTACATAAGTTGCCAGTCGTCAAATGATAAAAATTGAACATATATTGCAAAATATTTATCATATAATATGGTGAGAGTGTATCGATAGAACAAGAGGTGGCCATTGTTGATCATCGACTGGATCCTAATATACACAGATATCAAAAAGAAGATACATGCTCGGATAAGTGTTCTAATTCTCTCAAGCGGCATTCAGCATTGTAGATGCGGAGACGATGAATATTTTTGTCGGTACCGGAAAATGATGTTCATTCTCTGTATCCACACTGATGACCGAATATTAGATCACGTCAAAAAATATGTTCAATCAAGTGGAGATAAGTGAAGTAAAACAAATAATGTCATTGAAACAATGTTTTATTCGTTGTTTAATCATCAGGAAGATGACATAGTGAAAGTGATCACAAATAAATAAATTGATGAAAAGACACGAGAAGTAAAGAAAATATCCGAGTGTTATCATGTCTCATAGCCATCCAACAGCCACTACAAAATGATTCGATTGACAATCGATGCGACCAATGTGGATACTACTTGGATTTGAATCCCAGTCGAGGCTGATTTTCTTTTATTTGTATTTCATTCCCAAGCCCGACAGATCGGTGGTTTCTATATCAGAATTACCAGATTCCAGAGGAAAGATCAGAAAAACTGATACTATTTCCTGCAAGCCATAGGGGGATTTACGATTACTGATGTAAGATGACTTTTTTTTATTGGTAAAATCTAATAAAACTCGAAAAAGACTTGTCGTCTGCTATTTATTTGATACTCGAGCAAGCATTCTTAATAAAAACTTCAACAAGTTTGCCTTTTTAAAATTTACATTATAATATAGACTCCGATCAAAAAATCAATCACTCTGGGTTCGACAGCCATAGAATAATATTGAGACAGTCGCGATAAAACATCAGGAGAAACATAATAAAAAATAGATTTTAATTTTTTGATAGATTTTAAGGTATGTGTGGTTGCTCGTGAGAGTTTTCCCTTCAGAACCATACCACACTCACATCTACACCCACATGCTCACCTCCACATGTACTGAATGCAATAGAAATATTTACTTGTGCCTCAATATTTTATATAATAGGGGAATTAAATAAAACGCGTCATGAATAATGATGGGACGGAAGAGAGTAAATGGCGTAACACTTATTATTACTCGAATATTGAATGCATGTTTCAAGTTGGTTGGAAAGCTAAAATGAGCATCATGCAGTAAGTGCCATCATAATCGGATCTCCAGGCGTTATGTCCATCACTTTAAATTGAATGTTCGGGAATATAAGTACTTCTTCATTCGGATATTCAGAGAGGGAGTTTCAGTCATGTTTAGGCCACGAAAACCCATTCCAGTCCACTAATATTTTCTCATATTCAAATTACCTTTGAGTACTGTTGAAAATTTGATGAACCATTTGTTTCTTTCAGCTTCCATGTAACCAAGACTTGCTTGAGCATGCAAACGATTTAACCGTTTGTAAAAATCTGTTTCAGCTGTGTATGCTCGTATAAAATATGTATAATCTTCAGTTTCGACAGCCATTTTCAAGAAATATCGAATTTGATTCATTCCTACAGCATCATGAAGTTCATGTGCATTTCTTATTTCGTCAAAAGCCGCCTTGATACTCTCAAATTCGATAGAATTATCCCAGTTTCCGAAAGCTGTATAGGCAGAATGTAGGCCTGCTTTGGACCATTCGACTTGAGGTGTTTCGCCAACAAATCGTTGTGCTGCTGCAGTTGTCGGTCGATCGAAGAGCTCTTTCATTTCACACGTCTGAGCTTCGTCGGCAGCAGTTAGATTAAACTTATTCAATAAACGCCTTTGAGCTCCTTTTTCCAAGAGTAATCGAACAATGTCTATATACCCATAGTGAGATGCAGCATGTAAGGCTCTACTTCCATTTGATTCAATACGGTTGAGAGCATCGAAAGACATTGTGGGAAGAGGCCGTCGAATAGTGTCCAGATCACCTGCACGACAAGACAAATAGAACTCGCTCAAACTCATAGTTTTATTTTCTCGAATTTAATTCTAATAAAATAATATTATGGCCTATTTAACACTCCTATCAACTTAAAGCTTTTTCCTTTCTTTACTTTCACCGTCACATTAAAGGTAAATGCTGACAAAAGAAAATAAAAAGAATGTCTAAATATACTTTGCTATTCAATTGTATGCTAAGTAAAATCTGAGTGTCATTTTTCTCGCCTCACAAATGTCGGTCATACCCAGGGTGTTGTAGGTGTGAGAGCCTCTCTTTAATTTCTTGAGAGTGAGTAGAGCTATCATGACCAGTTTCACTGTTGCTCAGCACATCTCTTCAGATGCCTTACGAATTGGATAGTTCTATATGTAGAAGCCTTCTTTCAATCTGTCTTGAAACTTCTCAAGGACGAGGCTATCTGCTCTTTAGTTGTTATAATCATAGGCCTAGATTCTGAAGATCATATATCTAAGATTGTTGTTGTAATGACACTTATGCTAAATAATGGTGTGTAGAGTTAGAGGTGAGAGTTGAGTAAGTAATATCAAAAGTCTACCACGACCGGTTTCGTCCTTTCTCAAGGGTATGGGAGTGGACTAAGGGAAGAAATACACCTGCACTCACATCCACAAGATGAAAACGTAGAGCTGCTAGCAAGAAACCTGTTGAATCGATATCGAATGATGAATTTAATTTTGATATTCCTCCGGATGTGTCCATTATCGGAATTTTAAAAGAAGACCATCGGACAAAATACGTATAACTTTTTAATAAAGATAGCTAGAGTCCTGCGATTTTCAATAATCGAAAGAAGAGACATGGAAACATCTTTTTCTTCAATATTGTGTAAGGTGAAATAACTTTAGAATCAGTCATTTCTGCAAAACATAGCAAAAAATGCATGAAAACGATCTGTTATTCCGATGAGATTTTGGTTTTGACATATTATCTAGACAGGAGAACTTGAGATCTATAGTTCAAAGTATAATTCGAATGCTTATCTTCTCAAACCCTAATGTTGAGCCAATAAAATCGTCTATTTACTGGCACGAAAACTATGGATTTCTTTTAATTTTTCAGTAAATATGTTACTTTTGTCAAAATTTCACTTGAATGAGAAACCGTTTTTATACATTTTTGTGATATTTTACAGAAATGACTGATTTTAAAATGATTTCATCTTATACAATATTGGAGGAAAAGACGTTCTCATGTTTTCTTCTTTCACTTGGTGAAAATCACAGAGCTCTAGCTATCTTCGTTAAAAAGTTATAAGCATTTTGTCCGATGGCCTTCTTTTAAAATTCCGATCATAGTTCTACGTTCTGTGGAATGTGCATCTGTGATTCAATCGATAATTGTCAATCTAGATCTTTCTTTCCCATCGAAGTGTATATGGTCAGAAGAAATATATGCACAAACAGACGGTAAATTGTTATTTTTCCAAAGTTAAGCTTATTCTGCCTTTTGATGGACTAAATAGGTTTCAAGAGAGAGAATATATACATGTATTTTTCAGATAATGAACTGTCCTGTAGTCCATCCCTTACATCGAAAATAAATGTATGTGAAAGGAAGGTTATAAGATATTTATACTTCTTTTTTATTTAAAAGTATTCATCATACACAAAATCACGTGGTTATGACATTTATTCTTATCTTTTTCTTGTGGACTAATTCATTGTTTTGACAATGATCTTATTAACAGTCCGAGTAAAGTTAACAAAAACATTTTAGGTTTCAACTATTTGTTGCATGAAAGATAAGAGTCGCAAATAACTCTAAAACTTTATTTACAAATAAGAACCATTTGTATTACTTTAAATCACATAAACTAACAAAATTATAAATCGTTGCTCTTCCCTTGGTTTTTATCGTATCTTGGTATCTGTAAGGTGAATATAAACCTTCATAAGACTGATAATTCTACTTCAACTTGCCATATTCATAATTATTTCATTAGTTGCAAACGTTATTAATGAATTACGTAGTTAACTTATTTCTCACATCATATTCACCTTACTATCTGTTATGCCTATGCGAAATATATCCTATGGCCATTAAGGAAGTTTATCTTGGCCTATGATAAACTTCAATGCTAAATTATTATTTAATTTTGTTTTGATAAATATAAACTGATGTGAGAGTGGGTTGATAAAATGTGATAAATAAATTATGATGAATTGGTGCTAAATAGAATAGTTTGTTTCATGTTAAGAAGATATGCAAAAAATCAAGATTGAAGTCGATTAATAGAGGAAAAGTTATGTCTACAGGCTGGTAAGGAATCGTCTACCAGAGCAAATCGGATCAGGTGTTTACTGTTCTGGGCTTTAACTCTATCTCACACACACCCATCTGGACTGATCTGCGTTCGTACTCAAACATTATCCCAGTATCGACACAATCACAGTTTCATTAATCCGCATTTTCGTCCAAACTCGCACTTGCATTCGTATGCAAACACTCAGCCTCGACCAATACTCTGAACGATAGTCGTAAGCTTGCACTTTCTTGCTAATCTGTCACATGTATACTCAGACTGTTGTAAGATGAGCTACTGAATTAATATCGTTGTTTAGAAGAAAGACTATATCAATTGAGAATTTTTGACAAGAGTTGTCTCTGTTTCTTTCTTACAGCACGTATGGACACTATTATTTGCTACATTGAGTGTCAAATTGAAGAAATTAGAATTATTAGTGCAATTGAAAGATAATAAAAGACTTTAATTGAAAATTTAGTTAGTGTGATCATAGCTTGTTTTATTTGAATCCTTTCTCAGCGGCAGACAAGATTCTCGTTTCTTTGATGAAATAATCTTACATGCGTCTATTCACTCTCTTTTTGGAAGATCTAACCTTCGATTCATCAATCTTCGTGGTATGAATTGGTATTCGAACCATTGGATAATCTTTCAAATGCCAAAGATGGATTTCCAACCGTTTTTCTATGTCGTGTTGAATACTAGTTCGATTATTGTTGATTAATGATGGTTGTGTGACATCTGCAATCACTAGAAAAGGAGGAAATGCTACTCGAACAGTGAGTTTCTGTTGTTGCAAGTGCCGATAAACATGATCATACGGTTTTGGTTTACCACATTGTAACCATTTGAGAATAGGACGGTAACATATTCTTTTAATCAGTAGGGCAAAAGTACCATATGTTACATGATCAGCATCGAAGCACACTCCGCTGGGCCAATTCGTATGTTTAGAATGCCATATAGTGGCTCCTAATAACAGCACGTCAGCTTCAAGACAACGAGAAGGCAATTGTCTGAACAATACTGTAAAATTAAGATGTGGAATTGCATCATCTTCAAACACGAGTACTTGTTCATGATTATCACGAATCATCATCTCGAAAAACTTTGTCATTGTCGCTCGTAGACTCTGTTCTCCAAGTGTCAGAAAGTCGTCTTTTGCTTCAAGTCGATGGGAAAGTCGCATACCATTGAAACGTCGAAGATCTATATGAGCATATTTCTTAAAAGTGGCAACAACACTCGATACTCGTTGATCATAACCAGGAACTGTAACTACATACGCTACGGGTGTCTTGCTATCATTTCTAAACGTTTGTTGTACCGATGAGGTCTTGCAGAGGTAATAATTTGAAAATATGTTAGTAACTATAATAATCAGGCAGATTACAGAGATGTACATCCATTTTGACTTTAACCGCAGCATTCCAACAGTCTTTCCTAGAATTAAATTTTGTTTAACTAAATTGCGTGAGTACTATTCTTAAATCTAGTCAGACCGAATACATGAATGCAAACTGTCTTTCATGAAAAAAGCAAAAGCCTCATGCCAAGAACCTTAAAGTGATGACATATGACGAACTACCATATTTTTCACTGACAGTTCACAACCGTGCTTAGTCTTAGTAAAAAAACAATTTTAAGACATCTTTCCGCAAGAGATATCGAGAAACAACAGAAAATAAAACCTGAATCCCATGCAAAGTAGAACTAAGACTGTGTTACATTGTGACGCAGTTTCGGACTAAGTATTATTGTAGCTAGCCAAAATATGTCTATTCCAACAATAGTCTGCTTATATTTATGACTAGGCCAGTATTTAGGACTTTTTTTTAGAGATTGCACTCTACTTTACATAATTAGATAGATTATTATGTGAGTAAGGTTGTAGTGATCAGAAAAAGTTTGTTTCGCACCTTCATTTAAATAATATCGGACTTGATCAATGTATTCGAACCTTCTTGTCCTGCTCATTATTGTTAGTCTCATCTTATGTTGCAGAGCAACCTTCGTATAGATCCACATCTGTCAAATTCATTTCCATTCCCTTTTCTTTCAGAAAATGATCTTAAATCCGATAATTTATCTATGTTTGTCTGCACAAGTTAATCAGAATGCAAATCAAACGTTATTAAAGATGCATTTGATTGTGGATCCGGTAACAGATACACACCGTGCTATATATTTTTTGTGTAGATGTTGGACACTTCCGTAAAAATTCCGATCTGATGAGTTATTTGCAAGGTTCTCTGATTGGATTTGAACAGATCAAATATATCAGTTCAGTTCAAAGAACAGATTGAATCAATGTTGATGAGCTAGTTGTGATTTTTCATGTGCTGGTTAGGAACAGTTAGAAATATTCACTATAACTATTCAGGGACTATTAAGAGGGTTCATTTAACCTTTCAGAGGTTACATCGAGGTACTTCTTCAAACTTTTCGAAAGGTACCCAAGAGAAGGAATTTACCGGTATTTTGCCAAGTGACTGGCAAGAGACCCGTTAACAGTGGTCGGATACTGAAATAACGAAGAATTTCTGGAGTTAATTATTTTGTCAGGGAATAGCTATTTGGAGAAACACCCCAAGATATTTTTAAAAATTTAATGGAAGATTGTCGAAGCGGAGGAATACGATCTGTAATCAATTTCTCGAAATTATAAACTAGATTTTTCTACCAAAGAAAGACATTTTGAAGTAAGAAGCGATTTTTCCTTTTTCTGAAAGAAAAGGCTGCATGGTGCACTGAAAA